TAGTCAGTCCCTATTGTTTTATTTCAATTGAACATCTACAAATCCAAAAATCTAAACTTTCCGTGACTGCTGCAGGAATCATGACTGTTCAAATATCATAGTAAAAGGGAAAGACTTAAAACACTCTTGGAGTCAGCTGACCACGATGTGTTTGTTCCACTCAGTTGTTTTGGAACTGAATGGAGCACATTCTTTCACTGGACACTAACATACAGGCATTGTTTGCATTGTGGCCTGTAGGGCTGAGAGCAGGAGGCTACAGAGGCCAGTCACAAGGAACGTGACAACTGCAACTAGGGACCAGTTCAAGTTGGACAATAATGGTTTATATAGACACTGCTCTGTAGGCTGCGCTCAGACTCAGGATTCCATTCATCATCTCAGGAGTAGTTGTATTTAAGGAGTTTGTAAAAACAGATATCTCAGTTTTGAAACCATGTCAAAAACTTATATTCCTTGAGCTACAATTTTCAACATGTTTTGTTATTGCCAATACATTTGAAAGAATTTGCTCAAAAAGGGGTGAAACGGAAATTGTATTTGTCTGGCATTAAAAAGGTCTGACTATAAAAAAACACTTATCGTCTCAATGTTTTTACAGTGTTAAATACATCATGTCTCATTTCAAGAACGAAATGTTTGATGAGAAAAATCTCATTTGCCAATTGTTTATTTCAATCTATTCACTTATAGGTAAAGGTCTAAAGATAAATGTTCTTTGTTGCCGCTTTATTTCACAGTTTGACTGACTGCTTTAAACGACCAATTTCCTGTTATTATTTCTAAAGGCACAGCTTTCACGTGTGGATTTGATTCGGTTACAAACAGGGGTTTGGGGCTAATGCTAGAAATTGTGTCTTTTTTAGAGGTTATTACTTAATGCCTCGAGGGATCAGGAGCGAAAACATCAGTGTGCAAGGTTTGTTTCCAGCTCATCTTTTTGAATGTTATATAAGCATGACTATATTGTACGGTATATTTTGAATTCCACATGTATAATAAAAATCTTAAAGTCATAAGTCAATCATTCTCAACCGGGGTCTGGGGACTGTTTGGGGATATTAGTGATGGTTTCAGTAAAAGGTCCATTTAATAGTACTTCAAGGTAGAAATGTCTTTTTGTAGTCAATTATTGGACATTGGTTTATTGCTATCATAATATAATAGCAAAATACCATTACAAATGTATGGTTACAAATGTATATATGGGGAAACACTGACAGCTAACAAAAAATACCAAGTTTTAAGAAGAACAAGATGGTAGTCCTTTTGTTGAAATTTAAAGTCATATTTCTATGTTCCTTGTACAAATCTGAAAACCGGGGCAAACAAAAATGTATTTGGGAAATGTATTAATCCCTGATCGTTTCATCTTTTCACCCATTAATCATTTACAACAAACTATAAAGAAAGTGACTGACTGCAGTTTCACAAATAGCAGGGGACGATAGTGTGACTTGAGCTTTGAGACTCGCCTTGGATTTGAAAATAAAAAAAGACACAATTGTATTTGCTTCATGTTGCATGTGGTATCTCTTCCCTTTTCCAATAACTCTCAACTGTAACTTGTAACTCTATATGGACAAAAACACTGCACAGCTCTTAGTATTCTATTCTCTGTGTAAAAAACAGGTTCTCAAACAATGTGTCAGGAATCCAGGTCGGTCAAGTCCAAAACTTTGCTCAACATTAATCATACATGTCATTATTTTTGATTGATTAAATTACTCAATTAAACAAAGGCAATTGGGTAAAAGATCCCCGGTAGGTTATTTTTTTTACTTTATAAAAATATGAATGCAATTTTGATCATTGTGAATTGCACCAACGGCTTATAAATATGCTAATGCGATAATAGTGATTCAAATATCAGTAAACACAATCTACATTTTGTGTATTTTTCAGATCTGCTAAACACAACTCACAGACTCACAGAAAAGTAGGAAAAGCAAAGATTAGAAAAGAATTTGGGGAAATTTGTGAAAGAAGAATGAGTAGGTAAATGTATTGTGTCTGAAACCTCCATGCTTTTTGAGAATGACAGAATAACCTGATGCTTCCTGCACTAGCATCCGATTAAGGCTTACTCCATTTGAAACATAGACACAAATAAGGATTCAATCTTGATTTAAAATGTATGCGTTTTGAGACATCCAAATATACTTTCCCCTCGTCTCCTCCTTCAGCCCAGAGGTATTTACAATGCCCCCCACTTGTGTCTATGAGAATACTTTACCCAGACAGTGTGACCCTGGGCACCTGTTCACCTCCTGACCATCCGTCCATGTGCCATGTGCTGACTCTCAACTTGAGCTTCCCCCTGCTCTAACATGTGTCAAAGAAAAACGCTGAAAATGAAGCACACATGTTGACATATGTGACAGTACGAGGAAACTGTCACTCGCACAGCAGTATAGTAATCACTGAAGGGGTTTTCATGCTGCAGACCTGGTATTTAACCCCAGGTCCTAATGGCATGTCGGGGCTAGAGGGGTTTTTGGCATTTCACCGCATGGGAAAGTGGTCAAAACAAACTTCCGACTTTTAGTATTTCACTGGGGATTTTCTGTCTGTGTAGATTTCCTCCGGGTGCTCCGTTTCCCACTACCACTGAACACATGTGCAATGAGTCAAAAATCGTCCAGCTTCTGTATTTCTAACCATCAACATAATGGGTTCCTGAGCGTTACACATTTGTCACTGCTGTCGTGACATTTCAGGAGAGGACGTTAAAGTAAGTGTCTGTTTGAGAAAGAATATCTTACCCTTAATAAGTCCTCTAAAGCCAGGTGTCACAGTGGGGCGGATGTAAAGGGCCAAACTGTCTCTGAGTCCTTAGGCAAGACACTTCACCCACCCACTGTGACTACAGTAGTTGGTGGAGTGTATGAATAATGACATGTGAAGCGTCCAAAAAAGCACTACATATTATTAATAATAATAATAATAATAATATGATCGATCCTCAATAGTTTAGAACCATTAAACCACTGATCTACTAAAAATACCACTTTGTATTGCGAACAAAACCACTATGAATATGACTCCGAGATTATATTGGACTGAATAGTTTTCTTACTTTGTTGGTCCTGTTGAAAATCAAAATCAAGGTAAACTGAAGTAAACTGCCGCTTTGCTCCTAGCATAAAACAAAGTCAATATTGACATCCCTGTCAGCCTGTCTATGTACGGCATGAAAAAGTGAGGGAAATATTTCACATTTCTGCATAAAATCATCATCCAATGTGATCTGATCTTTCTCAAAATCACACAGAGGAAAAAACAGTTTCTGCTTTAACTAAAGAAGCCATTTTTTTTGTTACCATACTTTGAATGACAGAAGTGGGAGGAATAAGAAACAGAACCATTGCATGTATTAAACTGCTTGCCCCCTCTCCTTTGGCCACAATAACAATAACACAATAACAGAACTTAATAACAGCCGCTGCATGCCACTGTGTGTGTCCCATGTGTATTAATTTTACAAGCGCAGGGTCAGTCTCAGTCAATAAAACACCTTCGTTCATCATAACTCAAGACCCTGCCGCGGGATGTCTTCCGGAAACCTGAACCTTGTGTCACCTTATCTTATTTACATTTCTGAAACTCATACCAGACCATCACAGAACAGAACGCACTTGTGAAACTATGCAGCCATCCAGGCGTTTGCTGCACAGTCGGGAACAACACCACGCTGCTCTGTTGTGGATAGTAATCAGCCACAACACTCACAGATGTATCGCAACCTCAGCAGCGGCAGCATCTATAACAATGAACGCAGCCGGATCAAAACAAGCCCCGATTTCGCGCAGTCATTCATCCAAGAGACATCGAGAGAGCGAGAGCAGCCTGCCTCTAGGTGTGGTTGTCATGGCGATACGGTGTTGTTTTTTTTCCCCCTTACCCGCCGTACGCGCCGAAAGTGAAACTCCTCTTCCTCTGCGGCATGCCGGCGGATGGCGACCAGCAGCTTCCCGAGGGCTGAGCTGCTGTGAATGCACTAGTGTCACTTACGCTGAGTGAGCATGAGGCTGCTGCTGCTGACTGTCTGAGCTGTACTCCTCCCTCGTCACTCCTCCTCCTCCCCCTCCTCCTCCCTGGGACCAGACTATCCGACTGCAGACTAATGCCTTTGCCTCTTCCCCGGGCTGTGGCTCGCTCGCAGCACACTGGGTGACTACTCGTTTCAAATATTGGGAGTATAGTATGAGCAGAACAACACTGGGACACGCCTGCAGTAGTAATAAAAAGGTGAAGAAGATATCGGTGCAGAAAAGTTTAAACAAGTCCACATCAATGGGTTCATGGTTATTAAAACATGTGAAGTGAAGTTTGAATCCTTATAGTGCCCTCACAGCAAACTGGATTTCCACAAATGTTTTCATACATCTTCTATTAGTTATTCCTATTCTTGATTTCAGTATTCTTCTATCTCTTATGAAGTTCAAGGGCTCAACCTTTTATTCTGTTTCACACCAAATTCTGAGAAACTCTGGGTCAACAATACTACCAAAAATTCTATCATGAATGATGACATTTCGGATTGGACTTTGGACTTGTGTCTATATATAGAAAATTATCGGCTCAAATATGAATAAATATTGGTAAAAAATTAGTCCTGTCCAGTCGACAAAACAACAAACGACTCAATAATATGATAAAACAAAACCCAAACATGAATTGTGGAGGCTCAGCAGTCGTGCTTACTGTGCTGTATATGTGTACTTCGTATTAGTTTAGTTTTATTTGGTAAATTACTCAAGTATGATTCAGAGTTGTAGAAAATAAACTATTGGTTCTATACCTGGAGATCTAAGAACGGAAAAACAGAACATTCATATACGGAATACAGTATTTTTTAAAGTAAAAGTACTATTAAGCAGTAGAATGTTAGATAATCTAAACCTACACAAATAACATGTACAAGATAAAACTGAGATGGGAGAGTACCAAAGTATCCAGGTCTCGCCGTCACATACCGCTGGTGACTGCTTCCTCTTTCACACAACAAACAAACAAGTGACGGTGTTATCAGGGAAGGTTCCGTGCAGCTGTAAAAGGAAAACAAAGATATCAAAACACTGGAAGAAGATTAGAGAAAAAAGATAGAATCAGAACATATGATACAAATAAATGACAGCAGCGTGGGAAATTCATTATGTTGTCTTTCTTTCTCTTTGACTCGCTGGGAGTTTTACCATAAATAATAACAATATTAATAATAACAATAATAATAATATAATAATAACAATAACAAATAATAACAATGATATATCTGTTTTCTGGAATTACAACCCAACGACTTTCTCAGTGATAGGGGATAGTGATGCTTACATGCAGGGACGGGCACAAGGGGGTAGCTCTGGTTGCCCGGGAAACTGCCCTTCTCCACTCACGTTGCCCTTTTGAGGAAAAAATAAACAAATACATAATTTCATGTAAGATTGGTCCAAGAAAAAATATAGATAAAGTAAACAAAACCTGGTTTGGACACAGACACAGAGAGTGAAGTCAAGAACACACTCACACAATCCTTAAAGCTGGTTCCATGAAGGAAGCTGCCACTTTCAGACTAGACCCTCCTACAGAGACTTGCCCTTGTGCACACTCATAGAAGAGACTAAGCTTCATAACATAAATGACACGCAGGCCGCAACATGCGGTAAGAAACAAACTACAAGGTTCTCCCCCTTCACAGCAAATGCACTTTTGGCTCTTATTATAAATGTATCGTTGCATCCTGAAACTGAGAAGTAAGATTGTCCCCTCACAGCATCTGAGTAAAGACGGAGGAGAAAGAGACTTGTAAACAAAAACGATGAGAACAAATCAGACCACCCCCTGCTGTCTTCTTCTTATTAGAAAACATAACTTTTGCAAACTTGTCAGGAAATCCCTGGAGTATATCAATAAATATAATAATTATATATTGATTTTCAAATGAACCTCAATAAGGTTTTTTTTACAAATAGCTTTATAGCAGGGGTCTCATACTCAATTCAGCCGAGGTCGAGTCTGGGTGAGGCTGGAAAAGGGGTATTATTATCAGTGTTTGTGTCAAAGTATATGAACATTGGAGCAAACGGATCAATAAACATGCAGAGATGAACACACTATTTTACTTTGCACACACAGTTTAACTCCTAGTTTTATATAAAAATAAAAAAAATTTCTTCTGTGTAAATGTTTGTGGAGAGCTTGGGTACAGCTCATAATTTGCATCTGTGACTTTTTATAATCATGAAGGTATTTTTAATAAATAACTACATTTATTGAATATGATTATGGGTATAATTTTAGATTTATTTTTTATGAACAAAATGAGTAAAGCTGATCGGATTGAAACAAAACTGGACCAAAGAAAATAAGTCTTTGTATTGTAGACTGCTGGGCTCGTCAAAGTTTTCTTTTAATGATTACTTATTTAGTTCAGAGGCTCACAGTGGCAGGGAGATGGGGACAGCTTCAGTGATTCCTGAAAAAATGCAAAAGATAATACATTTTTTGAGCTGTTAGTACGGTATGGACCGCCGTTGCCGTTTCTTGTAAAACCAGTTATTCCAAAGACAGCAGGTCAAACAGCTCACCTTCATCTCCGGCAAATACTTTCTTTTGTCAAGCATTTGGTTCGGAATGTACCTCCCATATCAAAATGACACAGAGAGTAACTTTACCTAATTAAAGGCAATTATTCTTTATGGTTGGATACAAACTTAAGTAAACTGCAGTGACAATATCATGGCTAAACCCAGGAGATAATCCAAAATGCTGGCTACCTGACAAACATGGCAACAAAAAGCTACTGTTTATTTTACACCAAGGCCATTATTCATTTTGTGTTTCCATTATTTGCTTTTCTGATGTGGTATGTAAGAATGAGTGCTTTGTCACTGATCGTAACCAGTTTTATCAGTCACATTACGTTGATGCTGTGTCTCCATCTAAGGCAGACATGTCAAACACCCAAGATCATTTTAGTGGCCCCAAAAACAGATGTTAATTTGTCATTCTTTAATGCAATTCAATCAGTCTACAATTACAAGAATTCTGAGAACAAAATTTCAGTTTTGGTCAAATCCAAACATAACTATATTTGTTTTGGTTAAGGCTGTAATCAAAGAATCAGAATTGTTTGTATTGTCATTGTAAGTAACAAACTAGGAATTTGCTTTGGCCCATGGTGCAATCAAGTTATACACATAAGGTAATGCATTAAAAATCGTCAGAGAATTTCTTAAAATTACTATGATACAAAGAAAGTACACACACTAGGTGACGGTGGTAAGGGCAGGGGTTAGTGAAGTGATAGGTTGAAATGTTAATGGTATTTAGAGTCTGCAAATCGGCTGCATAGAGAAGACTTTTTAGACATTACGTTGTTTGATTAAAAATAATTATGACTTATAAAACATCTTCTCGTGTTTAAATATGTAAGGTTCAAACAACTATTTATCATTTACCAAATTAGTTGACAACTATTTAAATAATCAATTAGTTGTAATGAAATCACTTAAAGATGTAGTCAGTGATATTTTCCAGATGCATTTTTTGTTGTTGTGGTAAAACGTCCCTAAACCCTAAAAGTAGTCAAGTTATCGTGTGTTTTCAAACAGTAACGAATTGACCAGATGCCTGTAGTCTCCAAAAATAAAACATATTTTGGAGCGTGCCGATAAAAATAAACCAATGGGATGCGTTCATCCCCAACAAACCAATGCGACTGCGCGCACTTGAGCCATCTGATTTTCTAAAAGCCAAAAGGCCTGAAAAGAAAATTCCAATTTCACCTTTGCCACCCACTCTCCCTCTTGCGACAAAGAAAATAAAATGCTGGATGTTTGGTTTGGTGGAAAGGCGAGAGAAGGGGGTAGGGGTTTCGAGGTAGTGCTACGGCTAAGCTATAACATCGCTTACTGTACCTTTAACTTGTTAAAGCCCTAATTTTGTTCAGAAATTTTTATTTTGTTGGTCAAAAATATTTCCATAATTTAGAACATATACAAACACATAAACATAGTAAATATGAACAAATGAATGGATGCAAAGGTATAAAAGTAGTTTTCATTTTTGAATTTGATCCTGACCAACATGACTCTGACGCCTGCAGGTTTAAGGTCATAATTGTCGTAACAGCTTACTCAATCATTTTGATGAGAGCAGATCTGCAGACATCCTGTTCTCACAATGACACAACAAAATCCACAACACTTTTAATTATTAAATAGGTCCTGACACAAATGATGCTGCCAGCCTTATCACTGACAGAATACCTTCTATGTTGTATACAAATGGTTAGAATGGATCTTTTATGGATTTTTTTTTCTATTATCTTTTGAGCACGTCATAAGAACAGATGCAGAAGTCAGCACTTTTCTACTTGATGTTTTGGTATAAAGGTCGAAGAAAACCTATTTATGCCGTGTACCAACAATAGAGGGATCCTACGGTCACGTGACTAGCAGCCACGGCAGCCATACTGGAGGACAACCTCGGCGAGTAACAGCCCTGCTAGCTATCTATAACTGGACGTTCAAAACTAGAACTCTCTCGAACTACATGAAAACTGAACAGAGAATTCGAAACTTCAGCAGTTAGTGACCCAAATATATACTCAACCTAAATTCATGAATCAGATCCTCTGAAAATGCATCCTAAAATGTATTATTAATGTTTATCGTTACATCCAGGTTTACCGCGGTCGCATATTGTCGCATTAAAACAGTGTTTTTTCATAAAAACGTGAACAGAAAATTCTAAAAACCTCTGTACACCTGTATTAAGAATGTATATGTATAATGTATTCTCCGATTAACATTTAATGTGTTTATTGTTACACCATGGATCTATGTGTGGCTACACTGCAGTGGAAATAATGAGATTACATTCAAATCAATGGAGCTTTCTGCGTCTACTGTGAGGAGCCGTATATTTTATTAATAAATACTAGTACGGGGCACCCTGGAGCACGGCTCAGTCGTTCACATGTCTGCTGGCCTTCGGTAAGTCAGATACCCTGTGAACCGGGTGAGGTCCTGTGTGAGACCAAATATATAACAGCTATGCTACAAGCTAAGCTACAGTCTATGGAGCAACCCCACGTTGCAGTCAGACAGATATGTTTTATCCTTAAACTTCGGTTTGTTTCGGAATAACACTAAATCCGCCATCAAATTGATTTCACTTAGCAGAAATGAAATGATCCGAGCATATTCGGGCGCTCTGGGGGCTATTAGTTTTTTGTTGTTGTGTATGGTTGTGCCATTTCTCTCTCGTTTCTTTGAGATTTCTTCTGTTTTTGAGCCGTGTGAAGTAAGGACGGCTGGCAGTCGGTAACACAACTTATTTTCCCTGTCTCTCCTTTTGCTGCAGCCAAAAACGGCAAACATTTAGAACATGTTTATGCGGTCCCGGGTGCACGCCACTATCATACAGCGTTTGCTTGTCCTCCAGTATGGCGGATGCCCCGCGAGTTCGAGGCATCGTGACGTCACGTGAGATATCTCTATAAAACATGTCTTCTGCTGAGACACAATCCCGAACTCTGTATCTCTTGTCATTTTCTTCAAAAGCCTAGGATACATTCTGTGCACATATGACATGTACCTTATCTAGCACAAGCTCCATGAAGACAAATATATAAAAGCAAGCCTGTCCACAGAAGGAGATCACACTACTGATACTAATTAACACACTTTTAAAGCAGCAGCAGAAAAAAACAATCGCCACGTGCACTCACCCACGTGTCCACCACGTGTCCACCGTGTCAATATAATAGATCCATGGTCCAGATCTGGGCTCTCTGTCTCCTGCCATGTCTGCCTCAAACAGCTCCAGTTTTCTTTTGACAAAAATCCACAAAGGAAAAAGTCCCCCATCTTCTCTTCGCCACAAAATCCTGAGAAAGGCTTGGATGTAGAGCAATAGACTGTAAATATAGAGGTAACAGAGCTACCTAGCATCACGGGACTAGTTCGTTTCGATGAGGTCACATGACCCGTGACTGTTTGTGACAATACTTTAATAAATATTTAAATGAATAAATAAATAAAATTATATAAAATGTTAAATGGTCACGTAAGAAAGCTATTGACCAAAAAATATCCATATTACTTTTTATTATTATTAAAGTTGTAGTACCAAAGTTTCAAATCACAAAAAATAACACAATGTAATACAAGCCATCCCTCACTGAAATCTGATTTATTTGGACAGAATAACAGATAATCAAAGAGTCAAATAGTGACTCACAGGGCTCCTTCTTTGAATGTTACATAACAATAACAATAATATAACAATATGAGAACAGTACGTTATAATCTGATTTGTTCACAACATTTTCAGTTATATTCATTTCATTTTGTTTTTGTATTGCCCTAAATCCCAACAGCAGTCGTTGACTTTACCAAGTTCTTGATTCGCTAACAATAGATTAGAGAATCAAACAGTTTGCAAACACATTTCATCCATAGAGAGCGGGTTGACCAGTGTCCATAAACGTTAATATCATTACTTTGCACTTATATGGTGGTCAAAGGGGCCGATGTCACAGACTGGTTGCTTTGCTTCAGACATTCATTCATTCAGGGCGGCTGTGGCTGCAGAAGTAATTTTTGGGTGGTGTCATGAAAAGAGTAGAATGAATTATTGTTATTATTGTTTTACAAGACTCTTCTGTTAGAACAAACGACTTGGTCCACAATTGCGTCAACCTCTCATTTTTTACTCCAGTTGTGTGGATCCTCTAACATTGTCCCAAATGAAAAAGAGCGGTGAGAAATGAGATGACACAATCAAGATTGGTTCTCTTTGAAACATTATTTTGCTCATTGGCATAAAAAAGGCATTCAAGTCTGTAAACACAAAAGTAAAAGAGTTTTTTGAGTTGAATTTTTTATTTAGTTTTTTCTTTCTTCTACTTTCAATCATCTGTGGTGGGTCATTTTGACCCGAGGGTAGCACAAGGGTTGTCCATATGTTTGGGTCTGTTTGGAGGAGAGATTAAAAACTGCTCTTGTTCAGCCATTGTTTTTCAAAAATAGAAATTCACTTCAAAAGTTGAAGATGCTATACCTGATTATTATTATTTTTTCATGAGTTAATAAAAATGCTTATTACTACATACAAGTTGTATTATATGGGGCGACAGCTCAGTTGGTAGAGTATTGGCCTTAAGGCTAGAAGGTCGTGGGTTCAATTCCCACCTCTACACCTTCTCCACCGACTCCCACTGATGACTGCTATCGTTGTGTCCTTGGGCAAGACACTTAACCCCACTTTGCCCAAAGCCCCTGCTGGAAGATCTCAGCTCCTGTGGACTCACCACCTGCAGAGGATCAGTGAGGGGCTGGTGCTATGAGACTTGGGTGGCATCTCTGACTGCCACCCCCCTGACCCAGAAATGGATTAAAGGGTAGAAAATGGATGGATGGATGGAAGTTGTATTATAATCTGTAATTTAATAAAAAACTTGAGCTCATTGATTCATCTGTGCATGAATTCAGGCCTTAAAAAGTGCTGAGTAGAGACTTAGCGTGACGCCCGCTCTCCTCCAATCACAGAACGAGGCTGCGTCCTCTATCCTCTACAGCGCTGCTAAACACAGCAGCATGTTAGCAGAATTGGCTATAACTCTTCTTACTGTAACTGCAGACACAGCAAAACAGCCCAAACGACACAACAGTGAGGAAGAGAAGAGGGAACTAAAGCGAAAAAATTATGGAAGAAGAAATCAAGCCCAGGTGAACATAGCTAGCTTACATTGTATCCTCTGGAGAGACTTGTCTGTGGGAGAGACCTGTGGGTGCGGGACCGCCTCGGACTATCTATGCTCGGACTACATTCGGACACGGAACTAGCGGTAATCGTTCAGTTATATATTTTGTTAGCGGTAAGTTGCTTTTGTACCATTTCATCAGTGATTGTTGTACAGCTTACAAGAAGTTGCGCTCATGCTAATGTTTGCATATAGATCGCAAATAAAATTAGAGGGCACCGTGGGATGAGAGCGTAGGGGAAATGAGAAGCCTGTGAGCGAGGGGCGGTGCTAAACATTCAAACCTTGCAGAAACGGGTATAGCTCCTTTAAGTTTTGGTCTGAAGGTCAAAGCAAACTCATTTACTGGCGACGCGGAAGACACTGAGGGGAACTATCGTATTTAGTCTTGGTATAAAACCATGTGATCACTACAACAACACAACACAAGAATAAAACAGGTCTTCTGCTGTCACACGTTCCCAGACCTCCACACCTTTAGTCATTTTCTTCTGTCGGTTCATCTTGTCAGGTCAAAAAATCGGTTGTCAGGGCCATTCTTTCACAAGACAATATCCATTTTTGTCACAACTAAAACCTTGGGTTCTGAAATGAAAGCTCCTTGGATGGTTGGCAAAAACTTTTACTCCGCTGACAGATTTCAACCATCTTTTTGCTATGAGCCCGACCTGGACGTGGGATCACACACACCAGTGCCACTCCATTGATCCCTCCCGTCAGTCTGCACCTCCGCTGTCGCATTTCCTGACAATTTAATCATCTAAAGCAGCCCAAGCGAGAGAGTGTGGCGGCTGGAAAAGTGCACCGACATGGACTTTAATCACATCATGCCCAGGGGCCGCTTCACTGGCTCCTTTGGAGTCTTAGACGGAGGGAGCAGAGAGGAAGAGACTGCGGGACAAACAGCCGAGAAGACATACATCCAGGTCCACACTCTGGAAACATGAGAAAAAATAGAATGACAAATTAATTCATTTGTCATTCTATTTAATCAGTGTGCCGTTGAATAGAACAGGCAATTTTTTTAACCTGTTTCGAAAGCACAGCGTGTTGTTTAAACCTGTGTCAGTTTTTCACCACAGGGAAGACAGGAATACGTCAGAATAAAAGGGTCAGGATCAGAGGGAATTGGACAATATAATGGACAAGATTGTCAACCACCTGGAGCCATTTTCAAACATGTTTTTAAGTCGGTAAGTAAGTAAGGTTTACTGGCTTTTCAAGCAGAAGTATTGCCCATAAAAAGGTTTTGTCAATTCCGCAGATGAAATGGCCGTCTGTGTTTGCTGCCGCTAATTTTTGAATTTGGACAAAACAAATTATACTCTTCCCTCTGGTGGTAGCATAGGGAGTTACCCGCGGAAAGTATTTCTTTTACCCTTCATACCTGTTTCAAAATAAATTTTCTACTTGAGATATTATTTCACATTCTAAAACATGAAGTGAATAGTGAATAGTCACATTGTAATTTTTTTCAAAAATAATGCATCATTTTTCATATACGCAGCTCTGCAGTGCACCTCAGAAAAGTAATTTAGCTGATTATTACTCCATTTGCCGACAGCAGTACAGTAGCAACAGTTATGTGTGGTGTGAAAGTGCAAAATACCTGATGAGTGAAGTGAGCCCTCTAAATCTCTGCATAATATGTGTTCTGTACTGGATGAAAACACTGTATACCTTCAAAATATTTTCCAGATACTTGACTACACAAGCTGCACACACAAGCCACGAGTGCGTGTTTGAAGAGGCCGAGTCTGCAGGAAGGGCAGACGCACAAATATTTGACAGGAGTTAGAATTCAAGGGGAACATGTGCCCGAAGTCAGGAAGAAACTCAGATGATTTTGAGATGACAGATTGATTGTGACAACTGTTTTATAGTGTCCTACACTAGTCATTCAGTACTTCTTTAAAAGCAAAAGGTTGCACTTTGTAAAGTCTATCCCTCATTCTCTTCATCACTTTTTCTCTCCCGTAGGACTCTCAATCAAACCACTGATTTAATACATTTGACACTTTAACTGAAATTCACTAAAAAAACATTATTAGAACCAGAACTGAAACAACTGGAGAACATTTCTACAGATAACCTTTATCTTAATTGTACTACAACATATACATAATCAAGATTAGTTTGCGCTATTGTATATTCTGTCCATGTATACAATGTTACTGCTACTGTAACTGATTTTCACTACTATGAATGAACTTTAGGTACGTTTAGTCTGAAACACTAATTATATTACACAGATGGTGTCCTAATGGTGTTTATTTTTATTTTTAATACCTATAAAGGTTTTCTAAAGGCGACTTAATAGAATGCATTGTCCCTATCCTCGCCTGTTCTGTAGTGAAAGCTGCCCTGTGATGAATGCCCAGGTGGACTGCATGTTCCAGCCTGATGGACGTGTTTGTGATGCACACAGACTGATGCTTCTCCGCTGGGATCTCAGTCCAGCCACAGGGACAGACAGGTTCCAGAAAGGCTCACGGCTGAGGCTGCAGCCCAGGGTTAGGTCTATTCAATTGTCCTTTTGCACAACAAGCTTCTACATTTAACTGGACTAAAAAGTGAAATGCACTTTCCAAATTGTGAAAGCATTGATATTTCATTTCAAATCTCAAACAACAGAACAGCATACGCTATATGAAAAGCGGTTGGACAAAGCAGACTGTCATTGTGAGATTCTGCTGTGATATTGTCGACCAAATATGTGCTCACATTTCTACAGCTTATAATATGATTTAGCCTGGTCGTACCACACCATATATGTACAAATTACGTGAAATGATACACACAGGCTAAATATAATCATGTTGAACAGTAATATTATCCATTGATCATCTTCTGTATGACAAAAGTTCTATAATTATCTTTCAACAATGGCAACAGCAAATGCAGCAAACAACACAAGATCCTTCACTGGTTTGTTGTTTGTTGATGTGAATCTTGGCACTAATGGAATCGTGCAATATTATGGTTTATTCTTGTGTTGAAATTGTGCAACAATAAAGTTGAACCTAGACATTGAAAACTCGAGGCTGAGCTCTTCATACAGTATCTGACCTGCTCACACCTGAGTCACAGCCGACTCATTACAAACAGGGTCCCCCTTTGTAAGTAAAGATGGCCATAACTGCATGTGAAAGCCAGATTGAGTAGGGTTAGTACTGTGATGGGAGACCTCTGGGAACCACAGTGGGACGGCTGCAGCTGTTACGTGCCAAACTGTTGTTGTGTCCTTTGGCAAGACAATTCATCCACATTAGAAAGAGTCTGTGAGAATTGTTGGTGGTGGTCTGAGGAGTGGGGAAAAAGCACAAATGACAAATGAACATATTTTTTCTATGATGACATTACAATACTACTTTCTTTGTTACAAATAATCTGTCGGCTCTAGTCGTTTCATCTCTAATGTTTATCACAAATAATAATAACAACGTTTTATAACAAGGTTTTATAGACTGCTTTTCTGCACACTCAAGAAAAGCAGTCAATAAAACCAAGTCTTGTGTGACTGATTCATTCACTCACTCAGTCACACTAGACTCATTCTTGGCAATGTGGCTTAAGTGTCTTGCCTAAGGGCGCAACAACAGTTTAACACTTCACAGCCACAGCCTCTGCCCTGTTACCTCCTGAGTTCTGAGAGGATCATCTTTCACATGTAATATATGGCATATATTAAATTTTTAAAGCAGAACATACATTGTCTTCTAAATTACTACATAATCTCTCTGAATATGGCCCACTTTTTAACTGCACTCCTCTCCCATAGACATGCAGAGTTATGTATAAAGATAGCTCCCTCTACTGGACATATTGTGAAATTGCAGCGTTTTGCCTTCAGTCTACGTTCATCTGTCACCAGTATTTGAATCAACAAAAAGCCTTTCATTAAAACAACTCCAGATTACTTTAAATTATGCCTTGTCTGTAAGGAGAAATATAAAAACTACTCTTTACCACTTCATGCACAGAACTTCCAAAACATCCAGGATAGAAATGCTCACCATAACAAACAAATAACAAAGTATATGTCCCTACATCTGGAACTACTTTAAAATCAATCGTGCGAGTGTGTGTGTGTGTGCGTGTGTCACCAGGATCAATATGAGTGTGTGCCAGTGCTGTTGTGACAGTGCAGTAATTATCCACCAGTTTTGCAGACTACACCCATTATCACAGTTTATTTGCACTGTTAACCCCAAATGATCACCACACTATGTCACTGAAATATGACTTCTCTTGACCTTGGTGCACAGAGAGACTATTCTTTTGGAATTGGCAGGCAAGCAAAATAAAACCAATTAAGTTTTGTAGCTCCCGTTCACAAACAATGGAGGCCATTGAGTACTTCACAATCAAACTACCAAATAGAAAATGTGCACAAGACTGCAACACAATATAAGATTACAAATTACTAATCCCGGGTTTGTGAATAGCTATTTATTTTATTTTGTATTTATTCTTGAATTCAGACACAAAGGTCCATATAACATACATATTTATCTCGGTCGAAAAGGCCAAGATCGCAGCTGCATGTCACCAGCCCACAGAAACTTGATTACTTTCTACAACAAAGAGGGACATAAATTGAGGTTTGTTTTTATTTTTACAATAATAAACAAACCACACTCCATGTAGATGTGTGCATTCTGAAGAGTGCAGCAGGGCTTCTACTGATGACATCTGAGTCATCAGTGCTTCACTTTGCTCCTGCTGAGTACAGATCATTTCAGTTCCGGTTTCACATGCCTGTGTGGAGTATTGACATACAGAGTTTCCGTCGTCAAAAAGGAGACATTCTCAGCCTGAAGTAAGAATTAAAATGCACGAGTGAAAGGGAAGACTTCTGGGAGCCATGAGGACTAAGCACTTCAGACATGTTAGACACACGGTCTACTGCTGGACAGGCCAGTACATGTTAGTGGTCTGACAATACTCATTATTAATATTAACATTAATATTGGTAATGTACAGTTTGAATAATATTGCTATTATACTAAAACACTGTTATGATTTGTTGTATCGAATTTTAATCTGTAGTCAAGATTCTTGGAAATCTAAGGTGTAATGTAAAAAACTTCCATACACAAAAGCAGAACATATATATTTTCTGAATATTGTGAAAATATTAGTTTAAATGTTTAAAGTAAAGGCATATTCTTTATGACTTGACTATTCTGAAATGTAAGAGAATGAGCCGTGAAGAAAGAAAAAAAAAAAAGGAATAAAACAGTCATTTGTAAAACTTGAGCTTTTTATTAATGTTGTGCGGATACAGCTCATTGTACATACGAAGTTACCGAAGCACAAGGTGATGTGAGTGTTCCAGTTTGACCCTGTAACATTTAGAAAATAAAAAAAGAATAAAGTCTACATCACCCTAGTGCAACATGAGTGGGTCAATATGTAGAACTGAGACTTGTGCGCATGTCGTTTTTTGCTAAAAAGTAAAACCAAGCAGCATTTTTTAAGTGGACCATGAAGCAAACCATCACAATGTACCGATAGGACTAAACCAAATCCAACTTTGTACTTTCATATCACACCATGACGATGACAGACGCAGAGTTAAAAGCTGCCGAGGCACATTAAGAAGGATTTGAAATATATTTCTTTTCCGTTGTGATAAAAAATTATGATAAATCCCCCACTCCTCCCTGTAAATTAAAAAAAACCTTATTCGACCTTCTTCCCCCTCACTCACCCCCTCAAACCCCAACACTTTCATTGGTCTTGAACTTCCCGTTAAGTGGGGATACCATTCATTTTTACAGAGAAACAGATGTCTGCGATAAAAACACCAGTTTGTAAGTCCTGGATCTGCAGCCTGTTTGTCCGTCAGAGCGGATCTGTCTCTCCATATAGCCTTCCGGAGGTTTCTCACTGTTGTCCAACTGTTTTTTTCTTTTTATTGATCTTTGCCGATGCAGGAGGGACAAAGGACAGTGATGATGCAGGACATTTGAGGACATTTTCAACATTTACAGGCAGTGGTCATGCTCTCCATGGCTGCTATGCATTTGCTATTATTGAATTTCCAGTGTTCGTACTGTTTGATTCTCTGATCCGTTGTTGGCGAATTAACAACTTTGTAAAGTCCTCCGAGACGACTGCTGTTGTGATTTTGTTGTGTAGGTGTAACAACTCAACAGCGTGCCCTTTCCCTTCATAGTGCAGCCTCATTCAGATAGGCGCCAAGTGGAATATTTGAGAGACTGTTACTGCCCAGATATGAGACTTTGGAGAATGCTTTCTGGCTTTTGTCCGACCAACCAGAACCTCACAATTTCACAGTGAACATACATTTTTTTGTCACATCCTCACCTGGAGAATAGAGCTCCAATCCTCCCGATCCCAGGCCCTTTTGCGTTTGAACGTGGAGGTCAAAGCGTAAAAGGGTCGGTCGGTCACACACGGGTGGTTATCCATAAATGATTGTTTTATTTGTAGTTACTTAGCTACACTTTTTGCACAGGGAAAATCAGATACCCCAACTTTAAGAAACGCCTAAAATGGTTGCCAAAAACTCTTCTTTTCCATAGCTGTGTGGTTTTAACTTGCAGGATTTGGTGGATAGGGGGTTTTCAAGTGTTGAGGCCATTAATGCAAAATCCTAAAGTGTCCAGAGACAGACAGATTCGCTTCCAGGCAAAACTATCGGATCTGGGCCATCTCCTCCAGGTGCGGGGTCTTCCTGCAGCCCGTGCACAGCTGGTCCATCCACAGGGGGGCCTCGTGCTGCAGGGGCGTCCGGCGCGGGTAGAAGGTGTAGGAGACGTCATAGTTCAACAGGCAGCTGATTGAGGCCATGTACAGGTCTGAGAAGCGACACAGCCTCCGGGAAAAGTAGGTGGGGTTGTGACACGTTCTGAAGATGCTGCCAAAGTGAGGGTTGAAGAGGTTCTTGGTCATCAGCCTAAAAACAAAAACAAGAAAACATGTAATTAACAGGATTATTATATTATCAAGGCGCTATAGTGTAAAACAGAGCCAAGTGCCAGGCCCACAAAGGGTTATAGTTAGGTTAGGCATGAACCACTTATCACTTTTTATATTTTGGATAAAAAGGCCTTACCTGAGTTCTTCCCTCTCCTGCTGCCACTCCTGTAAAACCTCTCTCGCTCCAGGATCCTGATTTGTCTGGAAGAACAAAGAAGGTCAAAAAAACCAGCCCCTTTTGTTGTTGTTGCCGTTTATGAATATTTTACCATCAAGTAAAATATATATGACTGCAGCAACAAACATGAACTCATCCTATTGTTCTCTTTGATTCCACACAATTAAATACTATGTGCTTATCGAGACACCATTGTTTTGATTATATTATTTATTTTACTGGAAAGTTTTACATTCAAAGAGTGGTGAATGTGAATCTTTCTTTTCAAAACTTCAGAGTAAAAATACAAAAGTACATAGTGTGTTCTCCTCATTACATGGAGAGAGTTTGAGGTTGTGATATGGTTAATGTGTGCAGAGTTTCACTGGTCGCTTGTTATTACTGACAAAGGTGTGCGACCTTTTCTCCTTTGTGTTAAATGATGTCCAAAGAGCAACATTTTGCTTAACGTTTTATGAGGGGGTGAGCTGTGTGAATTGTATGTGTTATAATCTTGTTATTGGCAGTACATTTGAAAGAATTTTCTCAAGAAAGGGTGAAACTGTATTTGTATGACACTAAAATAGCTCAAATCTACTTGTAAAGGGCAAATTGTAAGTCTGTCACATGTTTTTCTCTGATGGCACTTCTCAGTTTTTTAAACCTTACTATTTGTAAATACATTGTTATGATACCCTCATAAATAATGTTTGAGAACAATCTAAATAAAAGGCCCGTTTTATCCTGACTTATAAGAATAATCAAATACAGATATGTCTGCATCATGTGCACTGTACGAGACTAATGCGTCAATGTTTTGCAAAAGAGAAAGAACGAGATGTGACTGATGCCCAGTGTGTAACCCCGGAACTCCACTGTTTTAGGTTTTTTGACAAACAAGTTATTCTTGTAAGCTCTAGTAAATAAAGGTACTTTCTCTGGGATAACGTGCAGAGACGAGGGTCAGGTACCTGCATGCGCTCCAGCAGGCCGGTCAGCGCCTGCATCCAGGTCAGGGTGGTGGAGTACTGACTCGTGCTCACTATCCTGGTCTCCTGCTCCAGCTCCGGGACGATGGCCCCTGTTCTCCAGCCGTGACGGAGAGTCAAGTCCTGCAAACAAATCCAATCAGTTTTATTATTAGAACATCACCATCTAAACCAGGCGTCTGTAAGGTTTGTTTGCCACTCATTTACATCTTTTTACGTTTTATAATCCTATTAGGACCAAATCATTTTATAGAATAATATATTTGTATGAACAAAATTTGCCAAGCTGCTTGGAATGAAACTAAACCGGACTTTGTATCAATCAATCAATCAATCAATCCACTTTACAACACTCAAGGCGACCCAAGTACTTCACAATAAAATTACATTAAAGCCATTCTAACATGTATGCATTAAAAGAAGAAAACAGTTAAAAAGCATCCAAAAAGTGTCACTGTGCTAATGAGTGATATATTGTATTATAGACTGGCTGAAAACTTATTGCATTTAGGGTTTAATGTTTTAAGTCATATAAATGCTGAGGTTGTTTTCTTGATAAAATTAGCTTTAAAAACATATTAGCCATTTTAGCCCAGACTCTCATTGGGTGGACGCAGTAAACTTGGATGTCCACAAGGGGGCCACAACATAGCTTTGAGACCAGTGATCTGATTTATACTCAGATTATTAGATTTTTCAATTCGAGCAAGATCCTACTGATTATTGACACTGACGCAGCATCTTGTATGTAAATCATTTGTTGTGGTCTTTGTTGCTACTTTTCTGAATAATGCTTCTTTATACTTTGTTAATATTAATACTCAAATGTTTCTACCCATCCGCAGATTGTTTTAAGCATGTATAATAGTCATGTTTACCGTTTGAAGGCTTCTCATTGTCTCACACACAATTTTGGGAAAAATTAAGGTGAAAGGTACTTAGTCTCTCAATGAGGAAATAAACAACTCCAAATGTTCAGTCAGGGCAGTTTGAACTTGTTTAAAGAAAATGTCAAACACTCACAGCCAAGTCGCTGTACAGATGGTCTCCAAAGTACAGGACCTTGGACCCTCGCCATCCGGTCAGTCTGAGAAAGTCAAACAAGTTCCCCTGAAACAGAAGGAAAGAAAAAGAGTAAAACCAACACGCTATTTTCTTCTTTTCCTTTATTCTTTTTTTAAGGAAAGTCTTGAACTGGAACAGAAAGCACCTGTTTGTAGATCTCTCCCTTCTCCAGGCTCTTTATTTTATCCCATCGAAGAGCACCATCATTGTCCTGGCGGCGGAAAGGTCTAGAGTGGAGAAAAGAAAAGGTCACTATAGTTACAGCTCAAGTGTCTTTCACGTTTGTTGAACAAGGACTTTCAAATCTCTGTACATCAGGTGCTGAATGTTCAAAAAAAGCTGCAGAGGTCTTTAATTCAAACACAGAACACTATTAACAGATCTGCCCCATGATAAAAATGCATGAAAGGTAGGTTATAAATGGCAAACAATTTCACATTTGGCGCAAAAATAAATTGGATTGAATTCACTAGGACGATTGTGGACCAAGGAAGAAAAATGCTAGGGACTGCATTTGGCCCCCGGGCCATACTCGGACACTCCTGCATTAAAATGAAAGGATTATTTTAACAACATAACACATCCATATTTCCTATAAGAAGCCTTCTCAAAGAGAGTTGGAAATCCCTCTATTAACCATGTTACAACACTGATCAAAAACCGCCCCCGTATCAGTCTTGTAATTGTATGACGCCACTGCACCACTATGACACCACGCTGAGCAGTTATAATAAAGCAGAAAATAAAGCGGAAATTCAGACTGGAAGAACTAAGCTCACAGCGCTCAAAGTGAACCTACTGCTGCTCACAACAACAGCAAGCGCCACACTGCCCCGCATCAAGCGTCAAAGGAAGGAAGAAAGCTCCATCCAAGAAGCAGCTTCATTCACGCCACAACCCTCCTCCTCCCCATCTACGCCTCGTTATCGGCCAGCTCTTTCATCCTTCTCCTGGCTCCCACCACCAGGGTTTATGCCCCAGGGGTTTTCATCTCATAATCTCTTTCCCCTTCCACAATCGTGCAGTGCTCTGCCGGAGTCTAAAGCCAAATCCTAACTACATTCTGTACAGCAGCATGAAATGTAATCTTGAAAATATTGTCCTCAGAGTCACATGTAATTTATGTAGTCAGATTACTTGCCAGCCAATATACAATTCTAATAGGACCCATGTTTTGTCTAATCAAGTCTCTCCAGATTGAATTCTAACCGTAATTAAATTTAAATTAGATCACATGGCTGCGATTTTAGACCAAAAAGAAGGTTTTCATTCAGGTTTTTAAATCGGGAATTCCGTAATAGTTAATATAGAGTAGTTGCATGCAGTAAACTAGACAAAGCAACAATCCCGACACAACCCTTTGTGAGGAAGCAAAACCACATTCTCAAGAGGAAAAACATCAAAAGCAGTAGATAACCTTTGTAGCCACGACAATATTACAAACGGGAGAAGGGGGAAGGGGCAGATGAAAAGTGGGAGCATGACTCAGTGGGGGATCTGGGGGCCTCGTGTTTGGGAGAGGGTCTGTATTGTAAAAAACTTTAAAACAGGATTTCACAGTCCATGCTGAGGGGCCACGCTGTTCACAGGAGGGTGTGTGTTACAGAAGGGCCTGGGGCTCATCCACGTAGGTTTGTGTTGGGTTTAGTTTATGAACACTGGTCTGGGATTATCAGGGCCCCGCGGATTGTCTCAAACGTTTGACATTCGACAGTGGGGGAAGAGGATAGATGCCCTAGGGGTGTACTTTTGGCAGAGGGAAAGACGGGGGTTTGAAGAAAAGAAAGTAAACATATTGCCTCATTGCCGCTCAGTTGACTTGAAGGTGGATAGGTTTGTAATAGACAGCACTGTAAAAATTATGCAAAAAAAATTGTATTGGCCAGAATTAGGGAAAGTTTGAACAAGCAGCTTCAGGGTATAAGTGCAGAAGTATGTTTTTGTTATTCAAACTGAAAATGGGGCTCAGTCTTTTTTAAGGCAAACGAGAGATATTATTCTTGTTCTATAAACTACAAAACCAAAACTACTTGAAGCCCTCGTGTAAACTTGCAGAGGATGTGTTGTTTTATAAAATGTAATACTGTGTAGTTTATGGAGATACTTTTCAGGGGACTAAACATCAGTGACCCCGGACAAAGGGACGTGCACGGGAGAGGCAAAAGAATACATTCGGGTTCATTCGGGACCAGTGAGAACATGTGTGAGCAAACATAAAAACAGCACATTTGCAACCCAATGTCATGAACTCCACCAAACATTGGGATATTACGCAACTCATTATTGAAATCATTTATCATTTATTATTGATAAAATAAGATAATTATACAATGCAACTTTCCCTTTGGTTTCTTTTATCCACAAACATGAATAACATAATAGCAGTAATATCACAATTCTGATTCATGTCTGGTGCTTATTCCACATAACTTACAAATAAGCAGCATACGAAGTGGTTTTAAAATGAACTATGTTTCAATTAAAAATGATTATATTAAAACATAATAATAAAAATATTGAAATTACAATGTGTATGGGAGTCATTGCAGTATTATTACGTGTCCAAAACTCACTTGATACAGTCCGTGAAGAAATGCGGCTTGTCGGCTTGTACTATAACGACGTCGAAGAAGTCCCTCCAGTCTTTCCCAACCATGTGTGTCATGCCCTTGTCTCTGCACGGCCCAAAGATAAGATAGGAATATTCATCAGGTGGTACTAGATAGATTCTTAAACACATTTTACTTAAACTTCAGTGGTATCATTTTGTGGCCTACATTCTTTTAAAAGTTTTATGTAAATTGGATGCTTCGGCAAATACAATACAGTTTAAATTTAACTGAATAGTTTTATTGTGTACGTCACACTATAAATTGATCACCGATATCTGTACCAATAGCTGCTGACAAATATAAAGAGCAAAGATGAAGATTAGATTAAACTTACACAAATGCAAATGGACTGTTAGTGATTAGGAAGAGCTTCTTCCCGTGATCGACCAGTTTGTTCAAAACGGCTTCAGTTTCCTCTCCTCTGAGAATGTATTTATCTGAGAAAAGATAAAGTATTGACATGTTACTCAATTAAACAAACAGTCTGATAATAGTTAAGCAATGGCTGTCAATCAGCAGCAGACGAGGGTGATACCGACAAAACATTTGAATCATCTGAGAAACCTCCAGTTTTTCTCCTTAAAACCAGCAAATTAAGTCTGAAATCTTGTGGTAAAAATGGACTCTGACTGGAGAAAATCTATAACATCGGCAGCTTTCTATCACCTAAAAACATTGCCAAAATTAAAAATATAGCGTCTAAACCAGACATGGAGAAACTTGCTTGCATTTGCCTCCAGTAGGTTAACGGTTCACTGGTCTCTCCAAACATGAAACAGTGGCAGTATTTTCAAAAGTCTGCCATTCGAGTCCTGACTACAACCAGGAAGTATGATCCAACCATATGAACCAACTCTGACTCTAAACACGGGGAGGCTGCATTTCAGGTGTATGCCCCTCGAATCTGCAATCTTTGGCATGATTTAAGTCCAGGCTGAAACCGTGACCGAGTTCTGAAGCGGAGTGTTATTTCTTACATTGAGTGTAGTTTGATTTTAAGATTGTTTTACATCCTACGTTAATAGTAAAAGTGTATAATTTTAGGTCTTGGTGTGTAAATTGTGCTTTATGAATAAACTTGACTGATTATTGTGCATCTTCATTACTGTGCGTCTTCAGAAACACCCACCCCTTGCTTGAAACATGTTTTATTTTATTTTTTTAATGTAATTGAGTGTTCTTTTCTCACCCAGGTCCTGCATGATCCACTTGTACATGTATCCTTTGAGGTGAACCATGCCCACGGCCTCCTGTTAAACACACAACATTACAGCCCTACAACGAAAAGACACCCTTCTCCCAAACAAATAGAAATGGGAACATTGTGAACATGGTTGAAACAGGACTCCTTCACACACAGAGCACAGTGTGGTGGTCTTCCCATGACATCTCAAACCAAACTATATTTAAACTCAGCTGAAAAAACACACGCCGGCAATCTGGACACAATCTCACCGTCACGTCTTTGAAGAGGTGAACGGGATCGTAGTCTATTTCGTTGGTGATGAAGAAATCGTTGGCTGCAGCTAAGAGGGTCATCTCTGGGATGGAGAAAATGTCCATGAACTGCTTTACTTTAGGCCCCTGAGTTGGAAAAAAAAAGTAATGTTATAGAGTTACAGAGAATAGGCAAAGTAACTAGCACAGTCCATACACAAGGCCACTCAAAGTGCTTAACAAAACATCATAAATATGCACAGTACATTAAAAATAGTGAAGAAACTATCCTTCAGTTGTATGCAGAGCTAAACACAACAATATTAATCTGGATTTGATCATTGTCAGAGCTGAAAAGTATGTATTAAGGAAGACAGTTCAAGATTTTTCCTGCCTCTCTATGTTTAGTCCTGACTCTGGGCGCACAGCAGAAGGAAAATAAACATTCATTGTATCAAATGACTTTCAAGGCGCAGAGGCGAAACAATGTGTCCAACAGCGATGAGGACTTTTGGGAGCGGCAGTTTGTTGAAAGAATCCATTCTCCACACCAGAGCAGTGGACAACATGTGATTTCAAGACTCTTTTTCTGCACGGACGCATAGGGCCAAGGAGTTCAATGTTGCCTCTTACCAGCCAGGACTTAAAGGCATGTAAAGGGGTCGGATTCCAAGGAGAATTTAGAGCTAGAAGGAACTTTAAAAATAACTGGTTAAATCCCCATCTAATGCAATTTAAAACCAGACCCAAGCTATAGTATTTCACCCATAGTTACCTTTTTGTTCTAATGCTGTTGTTTTTATTCTATGCTCAAATTAAACTTTTCATTCATAAAAAAACATGTAAAAGTAAAACGTTGTGAATGAACCAGGCCACAAAAGTCTTCATAATATTATAAAACATGCTTTCTTTTGCAAATGTAATAAAGAGCCCTGAGAGACACTACTCGACTCTTTGGGTTGAGATTGTTGATTGGCTGAGTGAGGTTGGTCCTCTCTTTTTTGTCCGTAAAAGCAGATCTAAAGTTGGGATAGAGGCCATAAATATACATGCATGTGAAAACTCTTGACAGAAGTGAACTGTTTTGAGAGCGAGGGATGGATTGCGCAGTTACATTTTTGTGGTTTGAAAGTTAAGCTCCTCAGCTTTATAATTAAGGGAGTTCAAATGCATTGAGTTTACTTTACAGACAATAAACAAAATAGACAGACAGTAAACAAATCGGTTGATATTGAGATTTGAATTCTCCATTTGTAAATTCTTATTACAGGAGAAAATGAGAGTAAAGTCTTATGACAAATTATAAATATGTTGTTAGGAATGTATAAGTTCAATTTAGCAGACTATATCCGGGACTACATACAAGTTTGAATACAACAGGACAGGATTATGAGATGATAATGTTCCAGTTTTAGAATCATAATCCTTCTTATGATTTGACTAAATTTTAGGCAGCATTAGACGGACTAATAAAAGCAAGGATTTTTATCACTTTAAAGCTGAATGTATTTTGTTGTTGCATTTGTTTAAACAAATGTGGTCACTCTATCATGTAATCTCTGTATTTTTCCTGTTCATAGACATTCTTGGCAGCTTTACACAAAATACTACAGGGTAAGCAGGGTTTTTACATCTGGGGAGCTAGAAACAGGAGAGATATAAGCTACAGGTTAAAGCTATAGCACCGTCTATACCCTGAATGAAAACAACCTTTGTGCTAATGCGTCTTACGAGATTCTTTGTTCCTCTGGCTGTGAGACTGTACAACACATGTGCACTATTGCTAGTTAGTTAGAAATGTTTATAATCTATGTACTTCTGTGTTTGTATGGATGTGTTTCTGCTGCTGGACACCTGAATTAAAAGGTATCTATATATCTATTGCTAATGTAACTTGGATTTCTTGACAACATTGCTCCTACCTTGCCATAGAAGCCACTGTCCTGCTCCAGAGGAATGTGAAACGTGCCTCCGTACAGCTGCAGCACTTCCTCATCAGGGACTGGGCTCAGTCCTCTGGAAATAAGACCGAATAGAAAATACGTAAAGCATATATAAAGCATTGGTAATTGCAGCAGTTCATTATTGAATCCATGTGTATGAACAGAGTGTCTGTGTTTAAGCTTTAAAAACCCAAAAACATTTTACTTTTTTAATTGCAGTTTGTATACCACAGTTGATACAAAAGGGAACGCAAAGTTATCAACAAAACACGATAGGTACAAGCACTAAAATCCTTAAAAAGAGTAACGATAAAATCCTTCAGTTGTACGCAAAGCTAAACAGAACATAAGCCTGTCTTACATTTTCAGGAATACGGAAATGAATAAACGATAAACCTGAAACGCTGCCTCCCCATGTTTAACTGAGAACTAATGTGATCGTGTTTCCGGCTTCTCGTCAAACTAGTCTGATTTTACAAACAGAGTCATCAAAAATATTACCTGTAAACTGTTCCCGGTTGAATGTAGTGAAATGCATCAATTTTCATAAAAAGCCCCTAAAACAGATAAAAGGACAACATTATAGAGCGATAATAAACTATTAGGCAGTTTCATGAATGGAGGGAAAATGCACCTTTTGTATGTCATAGTGAAGACCTCTGGCGGCAAAGTTGGGAATGTAGTCGTATTTGTAGATGCCTTGAGGATACTGTTAAACCAAGCACAAGAAAGCTGTTGTATTGCCATCAGATAAGCATCGGTTGTTCTCTGTGTTAAAAATGTAGAGGATCAAAAGTACCTTGAAGTGGTCAATAAGAAAGCCTCGAGCCGCGTTGTAGATCATGGTGTGCAGCGCGTTTGAATACAGGGCCAACGTGTAGTCGTAATCAAAGCCATAGATGTCCACCTCCGCCAGGCTCACTTCATTGTTGGAGTAAATAGCAGAGGGGTTGAGAACGCTGCACGCTCCTGGTGGAATCAGCTCTGAAAGAAAAGGAATGTAGATAGAGAATAATTATATCAACAGGCAAGGAAAGGCATGTTTGTTTGTATAGCACAGTTTATAGACAAGGCAAAGTGCTGAACCAAACAAGAGAAGAAACATTCACACGAGACATTAAAATCATAAATAATCACAGTGCATTAACATTTTGAAGATACAATACTTCTGTCGTCTGCACAGCGAAACAGAACTGTTTTCAATCTGGATTTCAACAAGGTCAGAGTAGAAGCCTGGGGATGAGTGCATGATTGATCTCAATCCCAATATTAGTGGCTGCAACCTGCCAAAAGTGTGCGTCGATTGGAAAGTCTGGGCGTCTCTGCTCAGACTGATGTCCCTGCAACCCGGCATAGATTTTCTTTACAAACAGCAAAATAATCTTGTTGCAAGTTATAACAATCTTTCTGCCCATGTGTTTAGAAATACAACAATCACTGCTAATATCATAAACAGGTGAAAGCAAGATTAAGTTAAGAAAGTATTTCTCGTTATTTCAGTGCATTTTCACCGTTTTATCTGCTAATATGAAAGTCCGGTCATATCAAATTGAAGCACAGTGGGATTTCAACTGAAATTTCAAGTGAGATTTGTATTCATTTCATTTCAAGAGTGAAAAATAAAAAAATACAACTTCATTGTTTTGTTTCAGGTTTCAGTTACTCTCAACTTTTGATCCTCCAAGTGCACTTTGAACATAATCCAAGAAATTGCAAATCGAATCGTAAACATGTGTGAAACATTTCTTTAAACTCGTGGAGCCCCAGATCACAGAAATAAGAGCAGCCACATCTGAGACTCAAACTCGCCCTGGTCCTACTGTGAAAACACAATGTTTTGACAGCTGATGATAAGCAGGATCGCAGGAAACAGAACAGTCCAGTTCTGCTGCTTCCAGTTGAGTGGGATTGGCAAAAGGACAGATGTTTCGCAGTCAATATGTAAACGGACACGGCTTTGGTTAAGCAAGAATTTCCAAAAAGAGCACAACGAGCCAACAGTCTGTAAAAAAATCAGGCCCAAGCAACTTTGTGCACAACACTTGTATCGTGTTCGCAGGACGTAGCAGGAGTACAGTGATCTCACCAACTTTAGCACAATCATATTGACTTTATAATGTGTGCTTTGTAGTTAGCAATAAGTACTGGCTGCAAATAAGGACACGTGCAAGTAGGCCATATGGAATAACACTGAAATCCAATGTGATCACCCTGGGCTGTGTGACATGTTATCTGAAAAAAATAATGCATGACCTACTTTTACAATTAAACTAAGCACAACAGGTAATGATGTTATGTTGTAGTGGTCATTTACCAGAGGTGGCAAGAGTTCTGTCCCAGTGCTTCTTGAGTACTTCAGTAAAAGTAAAAACACCATTTCCTGTCTTAGGTAAAAGTATAGAAGTACAATTAAAGGACCGAGATACACTGCATGATTGAGTGAGACCCGTTTTTTTATGGTGGGCTGCCAACTCATTTTATAATGTAAGGATGAGAACTTGCACTATTCTGGATTTAGATTAGAAGTAAGGAGTAAAACATTGAAAAAGCCTCAAACGTAAGCAAAATACTTCAATACGTCAAAACCCTGAATCTAAACTCCCTTCTACGGATGTTGATGGGTACAGCATGTACTGTAGCTCCTGTAAAGTCTGTTTTTTGTTTCTGCACGCCGCTCACGCACTTCCCCCTCTCAGGATGCACGTATTGGCTTTTTGCAAGACGTGTCCTGGTCCTGCCCAGGCAAGAAAATACAATCAACACTTTGACAGCGAGTGGATTCTTTCATTAGTGCATTTCAAGCAACGTCCTTGACAGTTCTCCCATTGTCTTGAAGCAAAACGGGTCTGGGTTTTAAGTCTCAGACAGTTTAGCCACTTAAGAGAGACTTATGAGCCACATGGCATACAGCACAGTGCAGTGTAGTAGAAATGCATACAGAGGATCATCCAAAGCTTTAACTAGTATGATTATTGTGCATTAGATTCCACTTGTATGGTCTTGTAAGGTCTCACCGTGCACCAGGCGCTTCATATCGTGGTACTTGGCCCACAACAGGCTCTTCTGGTCAGTCGGTGCAGCATTGGTGAAGTAAGATCGGCCCCTCACTCCGCTCACCCCCGGGGCTCCTACGGGTTCGTCGGGCTTCTTGTTGACTCCACTCGGGGCTCTGGGCTGGGGTTCGACCGCTGGACAGGCGCTGGAATCACAACTTTGAGCCTTTGTTATGCCACAGCCGTGTTTCTCTCCGCAGCATGTAGACAGTGTTCTTTCCCGTGTGGACCTCAGCACAGAACCGCCCTGGCTCCACACCCACAAGGACCGAGACAGGACTGTTTTCAGAGACATTTTCCCTGATGTAAACCCCTGCTCTGGCTGGGTTACTGCTGCTGTGACTGCTGCTACTGCTGCTGTGACTGGAAGAAACGCAGCAGGCTTGTTGTTGTCAGACGAAAACAACCCCTCTGCCCCTCCCTTTCTTCTTTAAGGGGCGGGCTCTATGTATCTGCAGCCAATCAGAGCAGAGCATCGCGCGGGGGATTAGCTTGGGTCACAACAGGGGCCCCAGCAGAACGTGAGCCTCACAGAACTGGTAATGATGTAGAAGTGATGTGACACAGACAAACTGAGCTGTGACCAGACTGGTTCAACTGTGGGCTGTCACTATGCAGCATTGAACTATGACTGGAGAAGGCAAAAGTAAGAGTCAACCACTCCAGAGCTGGGACTAAAAGTAGTTATTTAAGTAAGTAAGTGAGTAAGTAAGTAAGTAAGTAAGTAAGTAAGTAAGTAAGTAAGTAAGTAAGTGAGTAGTGAGTGAGTACTGTAAGTGAGTGAGTAAGTAAGTAAGTGAGTGAGTAAGTGAGTGAGTAAGTAAGTAAGTAAGTAAGTGAGTGAGTAAGTAAGTAAGTAAGTGAGTGAGTAAGTAAGTGAGTAAGTAAGTAAGTAGTAAGTGAGTGAGTAAGTGAGTGAGTACTGTAAGTGAGTAAGTAAGTAAGTGAGTGAGTAAGTGAGTGAGTAAGTAAGTAAGTGAGTGAGTAAGTGAGTGAGTAAGTAAGTAAGTAAGTAAGTGAGTGAGTAAGTAAGTAAGTAAGTGAGTGAGTAAGTAAGTGAGTAAGTAAGTAAGTAAGTAAGTAAGTAAGTAAGTAAGTGAGTGAGTGAGTAAGTAAGTAAGTAAGTAAGTAAGTAAGTGAGTAGTAGTAAGTAAGTAAGTAAGTAAGTAAGTAAGTGAGTGAGTGAGTAAGAAAGTAAGTTAGTAATCTTTATTTATTTACCGCCTTTCACAGACCAGACTCACGAAGCGCTTTAAAATTGTAGGCATTTGTCTCCCACTCCACACAAAGAGCGGGGTATTTAATTATTTCAGATTTAAGGAATCTGATCATATGAGACAGGCTCTTACCCTGACAATGTTCAAGTCCAGGTTAGAAGCAGTTGTGTTTAGCTGTGCAAACAACTGATTTCAACAATCAACAATCATGCTAAATTGTTGTTTTAATTCGGTGCTCTTTCACTGCAACCGGGACACTGCCTGAGTATGGAGGACCAAAAATGACTAAAGTATAAATAAATAAATAAATAAATAAATACAGGAATATATTAATAAATACATTCATTTTGGACAATAAAAACTAAATATTTACATTGATGTGTTAAATATTACTATGAAATCAAATAAATATACTTTTATTTAGGTTATTTATCAATATCTACATTTTGTCCTTTATTTATTTATCCATTTATTGCATATATTTATTTATGTATTTCTACATTTCTTCATTTATTTATTTATGTATTTCTACATTTCTTCATTTATTTATTTATGTGTCGCTACATTTCTTCATTTATCTATTTATGTATTTCTACATTTCTTCATTTATTTATGTATGTATTTCTACATTTCTTCATTTATTTATTTATGTATTTCTACATTTCTTCATTTATTTATTTATGTATTTCTACATTTCTTCATTTATTTATTTATGTATTTATGTGTCGCTACATTTCTTCATTTATCTATTTATCAATCAATCAATCAAAGTTTATTTGTAGAGCGCCTTTCATACACATGGCAACACAAAGCGCTTCACAGTCCACATCACAAATCATCACATAAAACAAACACCAGAATCACAATTAAAACATTAAAATCACACAAAAGATTAAAACACAATTAAAACATTAAAATCACACAAAAGAATAAAACCATTAAAACTTTCAAAATTACACAAGAAATTTAAATAAATAAATAAATGACAGCAGTGCATTAAAAATGGAGATAAAATCCTTCAGTTGTATGCACAGGCAAACAGAACAGTCTTTAACCTGGATTTGAACATTGACAGAGTAGACGCCTCCCTCACATTTTCAGGGAGATTGTTCCAGATCTTAGCTGCATGGATCTGAAACGCAGCCTCCCCATGTTTGGTTCTCACTCTGGGCACCAGCAGGAGGCCAGTCCCTGTGCTCCTCAGAGTCCGGGCTGGTTCATATGACACCAACATGTCACTAATGTATTCTGGTGCAAGGCCATGGAGAGACTTGTACACAAGCAGAGCCGTTTTAAAATCTATTCTTTGAGTCACAGGAAGCCAGTGCAGAGACCTGAGGACCGGACTAATATGGTCATACTTCCTGGTTCCTGTCAGGACTCTAGCTGCTGCATTTTGGATGTACTGCAGCTGCTTACAGGTCTGTTTGGACAGACCTGTAAGCAGGCCATTGCAGTAGTCTAGCCTGCTGGAGACAAATGCATGGACAAGAATCTCCAAGTCTGCCCTGGACACTATATTTCTAACTTTGGCAATGTTCTTCAGATGGTAAAAAGCTGTTGATGTTATTGATTTTATGTGGCTATTGAAATTTAGGTCTGAGTCCAGTATTACCCCCAAATTTCTGACCTTGTCTGAAGGAAGTAGAGAGAGAGACTGAAGTTGACAAATGACGCCCTCTCTTTGTTTCTGGGGACCAAAGACAATGATTTCGGTTTTGTCTGTATTTTAGCTGGAGGAAATTATTTTGCATCCAGTCACTGATCTGTTGGATACAGTGAAGGAGCAAATCCAGTGGTCCATGTTCTCCTGCAGTCAGTGAGACATAGATCTGAGTGTCGTCGGCGTAATTGTGGTAGGACACTTTGTTTCTTTGTATTAACTGACCTAACGGCAGCATGTAGAGATTAAATAGGAGAGGTCCCAGGATCGACCCCTGTGGTACTCCACAGGTCAGGGCCACATGATCTGAGACGCAGTCTCCAATCTCCACAAAGTACTTCCTATCCTCCAGGTAAGACCTTTATGTATTTCTACATTTCTTAATTTATTTATTTATGTATTTCTACATTTCTTCATTTATTTATTTATGTATTTCTACATTTCTTCATTTATTTATTTATGTGTCGCTACATTTCTTCATTTATCTATTTATGTATTTCTACATTTCTTCATTTATTTATGTATGTATTTCTACATTTCTTCATTTATTTATTTATGTATTTCTACATTTCTTCATTTATTTATTTATGTATTTCTACATTTCTTCATTTATTTATTTATGTATTTATGTGTCGCTACATTTCTTCATTTATCTATTTATGTATTTCTACATTTCTTCATTTGATTATTTATGTATTTCTACATTTCTTCATTTATTTATTTATGTATTTCTACATTTCTTCATTTATTTATTTATGTATTTCTGTGTTGCCGTATGCTAATTAGGTGGGCGGTGCTGAACTCAATGATTGGTGGGCAGTAGGGCAACCAGACAGAAGCAAAGTTAAGCCTAGCGTACATCGACAGAGAAACTGGGGACAACTAGTTGCAAGGCGGCTTTTGGCAACTGAGAGGAGATGATGGAGATGATCAGTTTCCGAAATCGGTCGATGTGAGCGCTCTTACAACTGGAGATGAACAGTCGGTCTCCAGTTTCAGTCAGTTGCCTGTGTTCTACTTTTCGGCAACTAGTTGTCCTCAGTTTTTGAGACATGACCCGATGTGTGCGCTCCATGCGCCGCTCCGCCCTCTACAGTTTATGTCAGAAAACACACTGTAGTTGAGGCCAGTTGCTGTCGATGTACGCGCTGTTATTCCAGAGACTGGTCTGCTACTGGGAGTTGCCCGTTTTCGTCAGATTGTCGATGTGTGCGGGGCAGCATCTCATATGCGACGGATATAATCAGTTGCCAGTCTGATGTACGCTAAGCTTTAGCCTTCTCGGTTTGTGAGAGGATGTGAAGCTGCTGTATAGCTTGGCGAAGAGCGTCCAGCACAGTTGCATCAAAGTCTACCTCTGGGTCAGCACTGTGATGAACTAAAACATCTAATAGTCTTTCCAGCCGAAAGAGTAGATAGTCCTCAGGTGCATTATGCTCAACATCATTAACATCATTTGCTAATGCTCTTAATTGATGAGCAACGGCTCCTAAAAAACTTACATTCGAAACTGCCATCATACCTCCGAAGTAAAACGGCCCGCATCGAGAGAAAAGCAGTGCGCGTTTTGTTGACTGCTTACGGTAATAGCAGAACAGCCTTTCGCAGTCAGCTTTTCTCCTCGAACAGAAAGCGCGCTTAGGAGACTCGTTTTGTGAATAAACCCTTATTTGGAAAAGCATGTAAAAACTTAAAATGTTCGACATTTAATTTGGTCAAAAAGTGAAATTTTCAGCATATGAAATGTAGAAATACATAAATAAATGAATGAAGAAATGTAGAAATACATAAATAAATAAATGAAGAAATGTAGAAATACATAAATAAATAAATGAAGAAATGTAGAAATACATAAATAAATAAATGAAGAAATGTAGAAATACATAAATAAATATATGCAATAAATGGATAAATAAATAAAGGAAAAAATGTAGATATTGATAAATAACCTAAATAAAAGTGTATTTATTTGATTTCAGAGTAATATTTAGCATATCAATGTAAATATTTAGTTTTTATTGTCCAAAATGAATGTATTTATTAATATATTCCTGTATTTATCTATTTATTTATTTATTTATACTTTAGTCATTTTTGGTCCTCCATACGTTTTCCATTGGAAATACAATGAATAATATATATATTAATATATTTACAACATTATTAAACATGTATTGATATATGCTGTAGTCCTGGTTATAAGTGTTTGTTAATGACAATGATTATTAACAAACGTGTGTAATTTTTTTCATGTATTAATTTAAATAATTGTTTCCTGATCGTACATCTACAATTTATCTTTCGCGTAATGTTAATCTTTACATACTAGGGCTGGGATAAACGATTATTTTTTAAACAATTAATCTAACGATTATTTTTTTCGCTTCAATTCGATTTCGATTCGATTCTCGATTA